CATTGATACTTTTGCGAAAACTGAAGCTAGGAAAAAATTGTAAATATTATTGTTATTTAGTCAGTTGGTAGGCCCGACCTTTATATAATAAACCCTTGAATCTTCTCTATTTCGTTTTATTAGCCAAACCTACACCAAGTATTAATTGTAATTTATGTTGTTACTGTTTAATATTTTTATTACCTGCCCTGCAGTGCACAAAAAAGAGCTTAAGTAGCTTAGCATTTTTCATGTATTTGTATATTTTACATTTTTATTTGATAAAACCTAATCAGTTTAAATAGCAGTGTGGCCCCATTTTTTAATTTGTCCCAGGGCCCTTGGTTACCTAGCTACGCCACTGGTCGGCAGAAATAAATACAAACATGTATTAAGATTATTTTGTACGAAAATAAATTGTCTTAAGGTATGATTAATTTTTTCTCTGTATAATTATAGTAAATACCAAAACAGTATGAATATTAACATTTAATCTTTAGAAACATATTTATTCATATTGTCAGTGCAATTTACGTTGCGTTTTAGAATTTTGAAATTTTTCACTTATGCGCCTCTTTCACTTTTGCGCTTTTTTCTCTTGGTCCCTTACACCGGTGCATAAGTGAGAGTTTACTGTATTTTTCAGTCTGTGCTAGTTTTTAAATTATCACTGGTTCGATTATTGATCAAAGAAAGTAGTTTCGAAAAATAACCATATTATTAATTATAGCAGGGTCAAGTGTCAAGAGAAAGGTAGTGCGTTCGAGTATTTTTTTTAAGAGCGGGTAAAATACTATTCAAATTGTAGCAGGTTCTAATCCGATAGATAGTAGTTTCGAGTAACAATAAGAAAATTGGGTTTGAATGTTGATTGATAAACTTGTTTTTTAAAACTGATGCGTGTTCGAATAACTGATAAAAACATAGTGAGTTCAAATGCTTAATTAAAAGACTGGTTTTAAGAGCTGGTCAAATAATAGCAGGTTCGAGTATAGATTTTAAAAAAAATAGCGGATTCGAACACTGATCAAAAAGAGCCGGGTTATAAAACTTATCAAATTATGGAAGATTAGAGTGCAGCTAAAGCAGGAGAGTTCAAGTCTTGATCGAAATAAATTGCGATCGAAAACAGTTTTTCAGTTAGCGAGTTCGATTAAAAAATAATGAGTTCGGAAACTGTTCAAATGCTAGTGGGTTTAGGAATTAGTAAAAAAAAAATTGGGTTCGAAATCATTTTAATGATAACCGATTTGGGTACCGATAAAAATTTTGTTAGGGCAGGTATTTGTGAATCAGGTATTTATTATCAAAATAGAGTGGTTTTGGATACTGTTCCAATAAATAGGCCGAATACCGATTAAAGACTATTAGTATAAAAAGAAACCTGTTATAAAAACTCATCGAATAACAGTCTAGTTGTGATAAAAAAATAAATAGGTACAAAAACTTTACAAATAGCTATTTTAAAAAAATATGATCTAAAAGTGTCAAATGCTAGGGGGTTTGAGTAACAATAAAAAATGGGTTCAAAAATTTTTTATGAAATTATAGTAGTTTCGCATACCGATAAAAAGATAGTGGATTTGACAATTTCGAAGTGACAAGTTCGAGTGCTGATTTAGGGACAGATTTCGATAGCTGATAAAATAATTGCAAGTTGGAGGATCCGCAGAAAGTTGGCGGTTACAAGTTTTGATCAAACGAGAATGGATTCGAAAATTGTTTTAATGATAGCCAATTCGAGTACCGATAAAAAGATGGCGAGTTTGAGTATTGGTTCAGAAACTAGTTTAAAAAACTGATCAAATTACAGTGGGTCCCAGTACCGATAAAAGAGAGTGGTTCGAGATTTTTTTTTTTAAAAAAAGGTTCAAAATTTGGTCATATAGTAGAGGGATTTGGTACCGAAGAAAAGTTAATAGGTTCGAGTACAGGTTAAACGAATTGGTAATTGGTTATAAAAATTAAGTTATAGCAGATTCAAGCACCGAGAGAAGAATAGTTGATTTGAACATTGATGTAATTATAGCAGAATTTCGTTACGATAGAAATATAGTGGGCACGAAAACAATTCTCTTGATATAAGTTCGAGTATTGTAATAATAATATAAAACCTTTTTCATTTACCCCATACTTTTCTATCGGTATTCAAGCCTGCTACAAATTAATCAGTTACTAAAATTCAGTCTGTTTTGACAAATAGTGGAGTTGTCTTTTAGTTGGTTGGTTAATAAACTATTATTAAAACAGTTTTCAAACCTTTTCTTAATTAAATCATTTATCTTTCCATCGATACATCAATCTGCTATAATTTATATAACTCTACCAGCCTTAGTGAATATTTTAACTTACTAGAGTTAATCACATATATTCCTGCTGTAACTTGAGTAGTCTTCAACCTGACTTTTTAAAACTGGAATTCATACTATTGCTTTAATCGATACCTTAACTTGCTGCAATTTTAATAGTTTTTGAACCCAATCTTGACTGAAACCTAATATTTTTCTATCCCAAATAATTATAATGGTTATTGAACCTACAATCAGGGAGCGTAGCCAAAACTTTCAACAAAAGATAGTACTTTTTAGGTACTAAAAGAATATTTTTTTAGCTCTATATACATTAACTAAATATTAATTCTTAACGCGGTCATGTAAAGTCTTTGATAACTAGTTTCTGACAAAGAACTCTTTTTCTTGATTGTATTAGCTATTATAAAAAGATCAAGAGGTTCTTCGGTTCGATATCAGAGGGTGGAAAATGAAGCCTGAAATTGAGAATATCTTGCGAAATGCAACAGAGTTGCACACGAGAGAGCAACAGTCTCACCGAACTCAGCTCAGCATATGCAATCCCGCAAGTAATTTATCAGACTTGTAAAATGATTGTCGCTTTCATACGCTACGGACCGACGGTGCGCCGAAATGGATTATGGTTGAATGAAATGTGAAAACATTGAATAGAAAAATATGAAAACCACGCTTTTGGCCATTGCGTGGCGAAAATCGACATGGTAAAGGAGAAAAAATATCTCATTTTCGAAAAGGGTAAATTAAGCACTTTTTAATAACACTCAATAAAAAGCACCCTTAAAAAACGCTACGCACCATGATAGTATAATCAGTATTCAAGGGCAAAGGTAGTAGATCTCATTATTACCGAATCCTTTATATTTTTACCAGACTCCTTAGTTAGGTTTTCTCAGTCTACTTTATTGTTTACATAATCTACTACTAATTTAATCATTGCTGGAATCTATTTGCTTTTTGTTACCAGGGATAAACTATGATAATTAGGCAGTCTCTGAAAAGGGTAACAGTGTAAATTACAATATTGGTGACATTAAAATTGATGAGATATTGGTGAAATTAATTCTCTTTGTAACTAAGACCTTTGCCTCAGCTGTCTTAGAATTATTAAAGAATTTGTAATAATACATTTTAGTACTAATCGGTTTTAAAATTTACTAAAATCGGAGAGTTGTAATTAACCTAGCTTTTTTAAATATAAGGTAACCAGGCTAAATAAGCTTCAGTTTACAAAACACTGATGTCTCAGTTTATCCTTGCACGCAATGACATTTACTTGCTGTACGCAAATTTAGCATGCGATAACTTTACATAGATAACGTATTTTTCTATATTTCCCTTTGAATTTATTTAATATAACATATTTACCATTGCTAATTTTAACTATTGTTTTCAGCATTATCTTACTGAAATTGCATGTCTTACTCCAGAGCACCACTTCCTTTTAGCGAAGATACTTTTCCTCCATAACCTGTCCCCTTTACCAAATTTTTTCTAAATTAAATTTAACAATATAGTCTAACTCAGGGGTCCCCAACCCTATGCCCGCTGCTTGTGATGAAATATTTCAGTTTTCCATTTCCCCATAAAATGCTATGCAAGTACATACATAAGTACGCTAGCTCAGTAAAGGTAAAGTACTTGATAGATTTCTAGATAAATCAAATATTTTTAGATCTAAGAAATCCTCTTTGGCTAACAGATTTGTCTTTCACAACGGACATAACAGAAAAATTAAATAATTAAAATTTAGAGCTGAAGGGAATGGACAAACATATAGCAAGAATGATAGGGGCTATAAACTCATTCAGAGCTCTAGTTTTGTGGATATCACATTTGAAAATGAAGTCTCTTGTGCATTTTCCGTGCATGATCAATTTGAAAAGCGCTTTTAACAGTTTAATATCATCGAGATATTTGATTACATATTTTGTAAATCCTTTTACCAACCAAATAAACGTGACCGCACTAGCTACACACATTTCAGAATTTCTTCAAGTAAGGCGAGAAGTGGAGATAGAAATTTTGGATCTTCAGAATGACATTATCCTCAAAACTATTATATCAGATGAGAAATTCTGGAATATAGTTGTCAGAAATGAATTTCATTCTTAAAAAGAGCAACATATATAATAAAGTCGTTTTTTGGTTCCACTTACTTGTGTGAATCACTGCTTTCGACAATAAATATCATAAAATCAAAATATAGATTCCGACTTACAGATGAATACCTTGATGATTGCTTGCGAGCAGGAATTTCACATCATTCTCCCAATTATGAAGCGCTGGCCAGTGAAATGCAATGCCAAAGATCACATTGACTGTATTTTATATATTTTATAAATAATTTTTATACTTCGTATGGTTTGAAAAAGCAATTTAGTAATCATTTATTTTACACAAGAATATTAATACTAATTATATTCCTAAGTTAAATTAATTTTTAAAATTAAATTTTTTGCGCATTGTATGTAGTGTGTATTATTACCCATGTCTATCAACTATAAATTTATCTTAAAAAAATAAATGGTGCCCGCCATTCGACCAATATTGTGATATTTGCTCTTAGGTACAAAAAGGTTGGAGACCCCTGGTCTAACTTTATTAAATACGTCTAAAAAACAATTACTTTCCTATTCAGCAATTAATAAAAGCAATTATAAAAACAATTATTTCCTATTAAAATGTTATTTTTCGGTTGTAAAAATGAAACACACACGAAATAATCTTTTAATTACATCACTGGCTTAGCATATTCATATTAAATATAACCTAAAGAGGAATGGGATTTAACATTGAGCCTTTTCTAGTCAATAATAAGATTACTGTTATATATTAATACAGTTCATTTTTTTGCATCATATCACTAACATATAGAGTATAAAACAGTAAAAGAAAATTTTCTAAAAGTATGATTCGGGTAGATTTCTTCAAAGACGGTTTGAAATCGACTTATCTTCTCTATTTATCAGATCGTCAATGGAGAGTGCTTGAGACAAAGTCCAAACTAAGCAGGATGGTTGGTTCAACTGCGAATAGGTTTAGAGGCATTGTTGAAAGTATTACGTCACATCATTTTCTGGAGGTTGATTTTTAAATATGTACCGGTGAGGAAACTTGGCAATAATGATCCTCCACTCACAATAGATTAACTCTATGCTATCGTCAGAGCTCTATAATCAGGTAAGGCGCCGGGTGGAAATTTTCGGAGATATCTTCTATATCAATCGTCATTGGCACCTGGAGTTCTTCAATAAATGACTGAAAGTGGGAACTTTTCAAAAAATAATGGAAAATTTATGGTCGCCCTTATTGGTAAATTAAAGATAGATCCAAGATTGCCTGAATGCTGCAGGCTCATCTCCCTTCTCTTGGTCTGGGGCAAGATTCTCGACAAATTGCTTGCCAAGAGACTAGTCTATTATCTCGAATCTACAAGTTAATTGATCCGGGAGAGGACGGATAGCACACTCCAATGCTTAGTAGACTTTGTTACATCATCCGAGCAGGAAAATAAGCACACAATTGGGGTGGCTCTGGGCATTAAGAATGCCTTTAATTACGCCTTAACTGGGCAATTCTCTAAATCGAACTGAATAAGATTGAGCTTCCACACAATATACTTTTATTTTCAACTTTGTGGAAGATAGACAATCACCAGAAAGATTATTTATATGGGAGTTCCGCAGGGCCCGTCGTTTGTTCCGATACTCTGGTTGGTCCTGGTATACACAGTTTTTCATCGGCTTTTAACTATCAACTTTACTTCTTTTAGGGATTTTAATTCTCAGAATAATTATCGCTTTTGCAGACAATCTTCTTTTAACTAAGCACTTTACTTTATATCGATTTGATCAATTACCAATCGCATTCTCAATGAACTTAGAGCCTGGGCCAAGCCACACAAACTAAATTTCAGCGAACATAAAACCAATATGATCACTTTCCCGAAATGCATTGGTCAGGTTACGATGCTGCCATATTAATTGTTTGAAATTTGTCAACAGGGAAAATACTTTTTCACCTTGCTCTTGAATCTGTCCTTTCTTCTTCAGCTCTTATCTATAATTGTATGGGTGCCTCTGACAGACTGCTGCGAAGTGAGAAGTATGATGGACAAGTGGAGCTGTAGGATGTCCAGGACCTGATCTAAGCATTCTTGGAACATGGATGGACATGAATAAAATCAACAGACCTTAAGTCACTTCCTAATTGCATAAGTAAAAATGAGTGATTGCATGTAGTAAACCATTAATTTTGCATATGATACTACAGTCTTTTCTGACCACTTCTTGTTAAATTTTCATTTGTGTTGTTAACGTATCAAACTCTTCCACAGATTTGACTCCTCTTGTGACAGACCCTGTAACAAAAAGTACATTTTTAATATCTTTTCATAACCTATTACTACAGTTATTTAAATCGAAACTATTGTCAAAAGAGTTATGATTTTTTTCCAACTACTTACTCGAATGTTTGAAAATGAGCAACGATTGTTTGCTTTGTTGCGCTGAAGATTTTCTAAATCATTTGAAGGCGTACTTAGAACTTGTGAATTTATAGTGAAAAATTATGCATAGCTTGTGCTGCGAATTCTCGCAATAGCTCTCCTGCGCATGTTGTTTTGGTGCGACTGCAGCGCCATTCTTCAATAGAAGTTGATGTTAATATCTCGATCTGAGAGCAAGCGCATTTTTAGCTCCGTAAATGATTGAAATTTAATTGTTAATCCATTTTGCTTGTGTTTTCTAATTCCGTTATTATTAAAGTGATTGTCTATAAAACAAGTTAGAGTCTTTTATGACTGAGCAAATTGATATTTATTACCTACAGTGGCAGTCCTGGAGAACGGGGTAAGTAGAACTTACCTTGATTAATAGAGAATAAGTTTTTATCAGTTTTTGCTTAAAAATTGACAGCTTGTTTCATCTATTACTTTTTATGTACGGGTGAAGTAATGAAAGTTTTTGGTTGAGAAGAAAACTTTTTGAGGTAGGTACTTTTTTTTACGTCGCACTAGAGCTGCACGATGGGCTATTGGCGAAGGTCTGGGAAACATTCCTGAGGATGATCCGAGGACATGCCATCACAATTTTGATCCTCTGCAGAGGAGATGGCTCCCCTGCTTTGGTTGCCCAACGACCTGCGCGTGAAGTCGAATACTTTACGGTAGAACAGTTTAACGAGGACCGATATCCGCACATCCTCGATCCCTACGCAGGCTGATTAAATTGGTCACCCACCCGCTTACCACCCTATACCGCGCACCCACCAGTGATGCTCGACTTTGGTGTTCTACTGGGAACCGTGTCTTTACGATCAGTCCACTGCGGGACAACATTTTGAGGAAAAGTTCAAACTAAAAAAAATTAGGAAAAATTCATCGTTGCGCATTGGGATAATGGTGTCGTAATATGGATTAATGCTTGTGTGTTGTAATTTTTTGGCTTGTAGGTAAAAAATTTACTAAATTTTCTGCTACCCACAAATTTTTTAACGAGTTTTTTTGATGGGTGAATGATTTCTTGGCATGGATTAATGAATGGAGAGGAAATTCAAACTTCTGGTTTTTTGGTTAAAAATTAGCAAAATTTAATCTTGGTGATAACTTTGTTTTTGAAATTGGGCTAAGGAAATGGTCGAGTGAGCTAACGAATTTTTTAACTAGACTAAGGAATCAGTTTTAATATCTGAGATTGTACTTAAAACTAGCTTAGATTTGTTAAAGTTTAAGAAAAAATAATTTTAGCCGAAATTATTTTGGGCAGGTTGTTTATCGTTGGTAAAAAATATCTGAAATAAGTCAATGTGAAGGAGGAAAGATTTAATCTATTAATTTTTATTAAAACGTTTACATTTGTTTTGGTCACAATCACTTTTCTAACACGAGGGATAACCATTTTTTGTAATGGACTAATGCTTGAAGACAAAATTAAAGATTATGTTATCTAGGTTAAAAATCAGATAAACTCACTTTTGCCTTAAATTTTGTTTAAGTGATTAGCTATCGTGAGCTAATGATTTCCTACTAACGCTACGTTTTGAAGCAGATTTTCAAATTGTGTTTATCAACTTCTCAAAAACTCTTTTTTGACAAAACTTTTTTTGCACGTTTCCTACCTTCAACAGCTGGCTTATTCACTTGAATTATGAGGGTCGCAGTGGCTCGGGGAATAGAGTTCTTGCCACCCAGTCGGGTGTTGTAGTAGATTTGATTCCCAGCGATTTCTGCTTCCGGCACAGATGTAATATGCTCAATAGCAGACTGTTCTTGGGGTTGAATCCTCTTGCCATCGGGTTATCCGTGGGCGGTTTTCCTCACTATGTAACGCAAATGATGGCGAGTTCCATTGAAGCGTTTTCCACGAAGGCTAGTTAATCCAGGAGTTTAAACGCAGGTTAAATAATCGAATGAGCCATGCTTTTTTTTAAGGTTCAGTTAATAAATTTAAATAAACTTCACTCAAATAAACAGTTCTAAATAAAAATCATTGATTTGGTTCAAAAGTTAGCTTAATTTTATACAAGCCCTTTTATATTAGCTTAATTTTTACTAAAATGCCCCAAAAGTCTTCGAGCAGACTCAGATCTGAGATACGAGCTGGCCACTCAAGTGGTTTAGCTTAATTTGCTTTCATCAAAAAGTTAGTTGAGTATGAAGTATGGACTGCCGCATGTCCTATTGTAGTCAATGTAACAAGGGGAGCAAAATGCAATTACTTATCTCCGAATATATTTTGATTCATAATTGAATTAATTTTAGTTTGTGTAAACTTCATTGGAGTTGTACCGATTATTGCAAAAGCGGTTTAAACCATAACGGATCCACCACCAAATTGACGTTTGGAAGTCGTACCAAAATCAGTTCGTAAGTCGTACCAAAAATATTGGCAGCCATCTGGTCTATATAATTAAACTTCGTTTCATCGGAAAAGAGAACATCATCCCAATTCGTACCTTTTTAAGAGGTTTCTTTGCAAATGCTAAACGAGCATCTTCGTGTAATTTAGTAAGCGCAGTTTTCTTTTAATATTTTTAAATAGAATGTTTGGATTATTATAGTTCGTTCCCCATGAGTTGTCTCTTGGCTCCGCTTTCATAACGTGGTATCCGACGATACTATTTCGCTATTTTTGGGAGAAGGATGTGAAAAAATCCTGAACAAGGCAGCTATTTGGCGATCGTATGACAAAAATATTTAGTTCGCAATCTTTATGTGCATTTATGCGTGGTATCCGACGATACTATTTCGCTATTTTTGGAGAAGGATGTGAAAAATTTCGAACAAGGTTGCTATTTGGCGATCGTATGACAAAAATATTTATTTTGCAATCTTTATGTGCATTTTTTTTAACATTAAATATTTTATAAATTTGATGATGTTTCTCTCTTTTGAGTGAATAGTTTGTCCTTTTTGAGGCAAATTGGGAAAACCCCAGTTTTCATATTTAAAATATATTTAATTAGCTTGAGTAACGAAAGGTATAATAGCAGATGATAAAGCAAAGTAAGGGACTGGAAAAGTATTCACTGATTGTGCTTGGCGCGCATTAAGGGTTGTCTCATTTTCTAGCGCGGAGACGTTTCTTCTCTTACTCCCACGCTGAAATGGACTCTGCATCCGAGGAGGTGGAGCCAAGTGCCAACTCCTGGTGAACGAACTGTACTTAAACCGAGCGGCTTTTGCATGCTAATTGCATTTAATTTTTAATTCGTGCCGATGACATCTTTCTGTGACGAGCAAGCTTCCAGATTCGTCTTCCTTGCTTTGATAATTTTTACTCTCCTTCTAATACGTTGTTTACTGCCATAGCTATCAGAATTCTTGAGACGACTATTCACTGTTGTCTTGGACCTTTCTATTTTTTTGCCAATTTGAGAACCACTCAAGACCATTTCTTTAAAATCTAAAATTTTATCGACTTAATACTTTTTTTCGAATTTTTTTTAAATGATTAGGCCAATTTTGCCATAGTTTTAATAATATGGATAGTTGACCGTATGAAGATAAGCACAGATGGCGCTAGGAGTTAAAAAAACTTCCGGCTTACTACTTCCGACAGTTTTTCCTACCTAAATTTCAAAAAACGCACCATCCAATATTGTTATACTTGTAGTGTCTTCAATATAGCTCGTTCTTTCAACCTAACTGTCAATGAAGCAAATAAATTCGGAAAACTACGCAAGCCATCTATAGGGCTATCTAAAAAAATAACAAACGGTGCTATTTTACACAAATACAGTATAATACAATACTGTATTAATACAATATAATACAGTATACAATATAACACTCACAACATGGCTAACCTTACACTTAGAGCCATGATGGCTCAGGGGATCGAGAATTCGCCTTCCAATGAGGTGATACGGGTTCGAATCCCAGCGATGGCTGGTCGATACGAATCCGCATACGGTTTGCACCGACGACAGAGCTGACATGAAATATCTTTAGTGATAGACAGATCATGGGTTTGAGTCCCTTTGCCGCCAGGCTATCCGTGGGAGACTCTCGTGGTCTTCCTCTCAATGTAAAACAAATGCGGGTTAGTTTCATCAGAAAGTCCTCCACGAAGGCAAATTTCTCCAAATGCTTGATCAGGGAGTTCCCTTGTCTTCTGGATTAGGTTCAAAATTACAAAGCTATGGAGTTGAACGTTAATAGTCGAAAACCCGAAAATTGGGTCGGCTGTTCAGCGACGGTCATAAAATCAAACAAAAATAACCTTAAACTTTAATTATGTTAAGTTATTTTTTAAAATTTATTTGAGGCTTAAGACCTGTTTGAATTTATAAATTACAGAATGAATGGTAAAATTTACGCGTAAATTTAAACACAAATCGCAAGAATAAAACATCCTTGAATACCAAGCCTGTTCACACATCGCCTCGTAAGCATAACATAAGCGGAGGGATACACCGGAAGTTTTCTAAATTTCTTCCGGTTTTAGAAAGCTTTTTATTGCTTACATTCAGTCAACCATCCATATGGAATTAAAAAAAACTTGTCATGCTAAGCAATTAGACGCTATATTTGCAAGCAGAAAATAAATTTGTATACTGAGCTATAACAGCAATGTTTCATATTTGGTGACTTTCAGCTCGACTTTATACTTTTTTTCCAGTACCGTAGACAGCGTTGAATAATGTTAAGAAAAGAGAAAATTTTGTTTAACGTTTGTAATGAATTTTTCCTACACAATTTCTGTTTATGAATATTTGTCACTTAACTATTGCTAATCAACGTTATTAAAAACACATATCGCTGACTGATGAACATTTCAAAAACCTTTAACTTCTTTCACCTTTAGATTCACTATTATCCATCGCAGCATTAGTGTAGACAATATTTTAGGTTACGGGATAACCATAACCATTTAAGTTACGAAATTAGACACTAAAACGTAATTTTTTTTCCGTTGAATTCGAAATTTTTGCGGTCGAAAGTTTGGATCCCTTTATGTTAATTTTACTTTTTGCGTATTCTGTTGTTTTTTGAGAGTTTTTTTAGTGACTCGAAAACATTCCTCTTGATCCCAATCTCAGCTGTGGTTGTGAGAGATGGGCGCAAACCAGTTTAAGAATATCTTCTCCGGCTGTACCCCTAAAGGTTGCCTTTTCCTTTATCTACAGGTCCCGTCACAACCCTTGGGAAAGTGGTTTAGATTATGTCGATGGAAGCTAGCCTTCTTCTCTGATAACTCTTTGGAGGTAGAGTTTTAAGAAAATTATACTTAGAATTATTATTAGACGAATTTTGTCCAAATTTCATATTTTGTCATATAAACTGGTGACAACAATTGATAGGACATATAGTTTCTTATTACAATAAAAAAACAGAAAAATGGAATAAAACCGAGCCTGGCCAAAATATCACTCGATATTAGACCAATATATGAGGAAAAATGCGTAAAATCTGTACCCCAAATAGCGAAACACAGCACAGAAGCAGACGGACACCCCGTCAGAGAAATCCGAATCCGAAAAAAAAAAGATATGTTTATTCAAGTACGTTTTTGTGTCCGACTTTGTAACTTAATATATTGTCTACATTAATTGGTTAAGTTAATGTAGTTTTTACCCTCAAACTATTAAAGCTAAGCTCGCATACCTGTAGATCCAATCATTAAACGAAAAGCTATTCAGGCTGATTCTTTTTTCTTTCATTTGCGGATGTCCAATTTCAGTTGAAATATGCAGTTTAAAGAAAAAAAGTCAGCAAATCAAAAGAAACAGGTGGCAATGTTAAGAAAAAATCAGTAAGAATTTTTGAGAAAGCATTAAAGTATTTATATTGCAACTAGAATAAAGCACTGAAACTGTTTCTGAAACTTCACAGGAAAGTAGGAGTTAAAAAACTTAATATTTGGTCAAACACGTGGAGATTTCAAAATTGATAAAACTTGAAAAGGTTATTCTTACCTGACATATAGTGGTACCGCCTTAAACAGCTCAATTAACACCATAACTCTTCCCTATTGGAGAAATAGTTACGTTAGTAGAACCATAGTTTCAAAAAAGCAGTCTAAATTGTATTATCAGAATTGTTGGTTTTATCACGATTCCCTCAGGGGTTTGAAAAAAAAATTATTCGATCTCCAGATTTAAATCCCTGTGATTTTTTATGGGATTACAACAAAGATTTTATGATTTAGCAGGGTTATGGCAAATGGACCAGATCCACTACCATCGATCGTGACATATTGTAGTGAGTGTAGCAAGAATTCGAATTCGGCCTCATCAACAAAGAATCACATTTTGAACGTATTTGAAAAAAAAATGCCTCTTTATCAAGTAAAATCTGTTAATGTATTGATAATATTTTGTTTGTCATAAGCCTTCCAAACAACGGATGGATTTGTGGCTCACCCGGCATGCAAAAGTTGTATAGAGTAAATGTTGCACATAAATTAAAAAAAATTACATGATAAAGAAATAATAGGGTCCATTATTCGAAAAGTGAGCAAAGCGCTGACCTGTTTGAGCGCGGTATAAAAAAATTCCTATCGTATATTCGTTAATCTCAATTATGCACCTTTATATACGAGTGTCCCAAAACTCATGGCAACGTTAGGAAATGATAGAACAGAACTATAAATCCCTGTATAATATATGGTCCGAAAGCAAGACGCAACTCACTGAAGGGAGCTCCAAGCGACCGCCATAAAAAGGATACTCTCAGTATACCGCCGTGCAACTGAAAAATCAATGTAAGTGAAAAAAAAATTTAAAATAGTGATTTTAATGTATTTGACATCTTTGTATGATAATTAAGTAGAACCACGTTACACAGTATTACGGGAAACGTAAACAGGCTGAGATATTTTCCGCGTGATAGATTCAGTCCCCGCGCTGATACGATGTACCATTTCGTCACCGATACAGATGGCGATCTCTCACCACTGCCACGTTCAGTATCCGGCATGTAACTTTGAAAATAAAAACCTTTCGTGGAGCTGTTGGTGCATTCGTTAAAATATCCTACATAATAAGGTAAACTTATCGCCAAAAAATATATATATCAGTTTTTTGACATTCTATTTTAGCGTTCATAGCATTGGCAATAGAAAGAAAATAGTTTTCAAGCCACTTTTCTCGGAATCAATTAAAAATAAAAGCACTTACGTTGTATTTTCAATTGCAGGGAAGAGAGCCGTTGTGGCTCAGGGGATAGAGCGTTCCCTTTTCAATGACGTGAACCGGGTTCGAATCCCAGCGATGGCTGTTAGATACCAATTCCACATCCGGTTTGCACAGACCACAGTACTCACATAAAATATCCTCAGTGATAGACGGATCACGAGTTAGAGTACCTTTGCCATCAGGCTAACTGTGGGTTTTCGTGTTTTTCCACTCCATGTAACGCAAATACGGGTTAGTTCCATTTAAAAGTCCTCCACGAAGGAAAATTTCTCCCAATATTTGGTCCAGGAGTTCCCTTGTCTTCCGGATTGGGTTCAAAATGAGAAGGCTACGGAGTTTAACATCGTAGTCGTGAACCCAAAAAGTAGGTTGGCTGCTCAATGTCGGTTATGAAATTGAAATGACAGAGTAACTGTTTTTATTTGCTCTGCGAATCTCCGATCAGATGAATGCTTACTCGAATTAGGAGAAGGCCGATATTCATTACATGTACGGAACTGCAGACGGCATTGCAAGAGAAGCTCAAAGATCTGTCATCTGTAACGGACCAAATTGCGCATCGTATCAGCGCGAGGACTGAATCTAGCACGCGGGAAATGTCTCATGCCGTTTACGTTTCCCGTAGTACGATTAGGCGAATGCTATGAGATCAAGGAATTCATCTCTATCATGCGTATCGAGTTCAGAGCCTAGAACCGTTGGGTTATCGGGCACTCATCAATTTTACCACGGGGTTTCTCCAGAAGATGTCTGTGGACCCAAGTCGTTGTGCACAAGTATTGTTCACTGAGGAATGCACATTTACATGCGATGGTATTTTAAATATGTGCAGCAATCACGAGTGGGCAACAGAAAACCCGTACGTATTGCGTCCACGTTCTTTCCAGCAACGTTTTCACGCTAAAAGTTTGGTGGAATGGTGACGATCATCTGATTGAGCCACACCTACTACAAACACGCCTGGAGAGATATTCATACCTTGTGCATTTGCAAGAGGTGTTGCCAGAAGGCAGAACTATTCACTCGTGTTCCATTACACATCACACAACGCATGTAGTTTCAATACAACAGGGAATCAGCCCATAACATTGTGGATGTGCGTAACACCTTAGATATCATGTATACGAGATGATGAATAGGACGTGGTGGTCCAATCAACTGGCCGTCACCCAATTTGTCATGTGCCTACTTTTTTTTCTGAAGTCATATGAAGCGAGCCTCATCTACGACGATGGTCCCATAGATTTTGGTGAAGACTTTGTTTCCACTGATATCAATCAGTAGCTGCTGACACCACAAGAGAAATGCATGCCCAAGTCAAAATTCTTGATGGTTCCATCAAAAAAAATGTTGGTTTAAGTTGGTTTCAGTACAACTCATGATGGTCCAGCATCATTTGATGGTCACCATCATCCAAAATTTTCCATTATGCGTTCATGATCTTGATATACCCACAAACTTCCATCATTCCATGATGAAAAATGCTACTTAATTTTATGATGTTGAACCATCAACAAAAGTTTGATTCTCATAAAACAACAATCCATGATGATCCGTGATGGTTCCAACTGTACATTTTCATGATAATTTAATGGGAATTCCTGCTGGTTCTCAGGAATATACCATCAAAACAATGTGTTTTTTTAAATGTTGGACCATCATAATTTAATCCGAATTCCTACATTGGGATGATAGTTGTTCATGATTGTTTCTGCATTTGATTTCTAAAATACTATGATGGAAATTCGTGATGGTCCATAATGACACAACAAGGCATTTCCGTGATGGTTTAATAATAATTCCTGTTGGTTCAGTAGGAATATACCATCAAAATACATTGTTTTTGTATGTAGGACCATCATAAATCCATCCGAATTCCTACGTTGGGGTGATGGCGGTTCATGATCATTCCAACATTTGATTTCCATGAAAATATGAAGGAAATTTCTGATGGTTCAACATGAACAAACGATTCAAACAAGTTGTTATTCTTATGTTGGATCATCATAAATCAGTCAGAATTCACACATTGAGGTGATGGTTACTTATGTTGGTTACTATAAGAAACATAATGGTTCATGATGGAATTATTGATGATTAACAGCAGGATAATGTAGGTCCGTCTATGGAAAAGTATCAAAAATTTTGACTTAGGTGGTGTTTTCGCCAATGCCTGCGTTAATGTTGTCGGTTTCAAGTTAGAGCAGTTCTCGTGATGGGGGTCTTACTGTTTAATTTCATTTTGTTAAAAATACTTTTCCTCATTTTATAGGTTTTTTTTCATTCCAATCTCTGCCTATCTTGTTTCTCATCATTTCGTGAAGCAGCATGTTTCGTTCTCCAACGATTTACGATTATAGTGATTTGTGCTTGTATAATTGTGTTCTATCACCTTCTAACGTATAACCCTCACATTGTATATACATAAGTAATATAAAAAATAATCAGTCTATTCACACCGACTCCCCGGAAATCAATGTTTATTTTTGATTGCTGTTTGGTAATTTCAATGCAGTTTATGAAATTTTAACATTTTGAATATGATTTTATAATACGCGAATTTTAATTCATCACTTTATACTCTCAAATAGCGACAGTTTCATTGAAAAACCACTTTGTTTCTCTGTACCTATTTTTGGTCATTTCCAAAATAGGTACAGAAAAATAGGTTCAAGGTCAAAATATCACATTTAAGAAATCACTCTTTTTTACCCACAGTCTGCCGATTTCATCCGCGACGCTTTCATATTTCCTTAGCAGCACATCTTGATTGTTTTTGTCCATTTCTGACTGATTTAGTTCCGATATTTTGATGTATGATTGGATATTAGTACGAGACGCAATTTGGAATTTAAGTGTTCACCTCGAGTTGTGAAAATCGCGTTTTGAAAGTAAATCTACGTCATTTTAATATCTTTTTTGAAAATGTTTTTTGAAACTTTTCTTAAATCTTTTCAACATAATACGATATTCGAATTTTAAAGTAATGACAGTCTAAACAACACCTTCTAGAAAAGAGAATGCTTCAGCGCGGGTAACTGTAAACAAGAAATTTAATCCTTCAGTAGTCTTAATGTAATGACATCTTTCTTATTTTTCATCCATTGCGCAGTTTATGTTCGTTACGTCGGACTACTAAATTAATCCGAGATGAGGCATTCTTTCTTCTTGAAGTTGCTGGTCTAATACGCTTAAATAGCGACTATCACATGGTGAATCCATGTCGTTTACTGATCATTTCCTCATGGGTCTTAAAATTGCAATTCTTCATGTGAGATTACGACACTTGAATTTCGAATCCCAGTGAAACCATTTAACACCACTTTTGGGAGGAATACTTTCCATAGACTTTGTGTTACAGAAAACCTTTAGGAAAGATCATTAAAACCTCTCCCAGCGTTTCTCTCCAATCATCTGCACCGAATGCGGAAAAGATCAAATAAGGGAAGACAAAAAAATATCAAAACAAAAAATTTAAAAAAAAAAACAAGTACAGATTAAAATGTATTCAAAATATTGGTGTGAGGCTCTTATTTAGAAAGCTCTTTTTGAAGATACAACCTCATGTTGCAGTCAGAATGTACTAAAGACGATGCTGTCAATGATTAGCTTTCAGAGTTGAAAGTTAAATTAGAAAGAACAGTTATCTTAGAAAACATTTCAAACCAAAAAAAAACCTCCTCTCATCTTTATAAAAGCTAATTAATTTTTATGATTTAAAATTAAATGCAAATTTAAGCAAAAAAGCAATTTTTTATTTATTAAAATGGCTTTAGCATTCGTAATTGGTAAATTTGCTTTTACACATAACTATATCAGTTGGGATCATTTTTATAGTAGCTAAATTTTATTCTTAGATTCATCTTTTCATGACGCCAACAGAAGTGGCATTTACGCACCAAGAAAAGGACATTGACTAAAATTAAAATTGTTGGCGAAAGATCATGTACAGTCCGCAAAAAAAAAAAAAGATATCACCCTGAATAACTTTCGTTCTAATGATCGGATTTTCACGAACTAAGTGTCAATCTTAATGGTTCCGGGGGGTGACTTCAAATATGCTAATTAATTAGTGCTAACTATTAATTAAGTTACGAAATCAGACACAAAAGCGTACTTTCTCTGAATAAACATATAATTTTTTTTGCATATTTGGATTTCTTATCTTCAAAATATAGGGAGTAGCCGTAATCTGGGAAATGTGGTCCCCGTAGTTTGGTCAGGAGAGCGATTCAAAGTTTGGTCCCCTTAATGTTAAGTTCGTTTTTTGCGTTTTCAGTCATATTTTAAAAACTAATGAAGCAATTCAAGAAAAAATTGCACCCACTCATAAAACTCATTTACCCAAAGATAATTTCATGAAAAAAATAATTTTTAATAATTATTTATTATTTTTTATTATTTCATTAAAGTGAGGATGAATTATAAGGTAGGGATTTTTTTATACCATCTTAATCTACATATTTTTCAATTAAAAAATCTAAAGTTTCTATTGTTTTTATTTATTAGAAGATGAGAAAAATTAAAATTAATTATTTCAAAAAAAAAACAATTTGGCGACAATGAAGAAATGATTTAATGGGGCGATTAATATTGAAATGTGATAAACTTAAGAGGAACTTGACTTAGCGCGAGTGGCGTAAAATTTCATTCATATTTTTTTCGCTAATAATCGTTTGCTAATCTTTTTATTTTTATTTTTTTTAAACTATAAAATACGATATTTCTTTTTTAGTCGTCTGAAATTCTATTTGCTATTTAGTAAAGAAATTTTAATGAAACATTTTAATCAAGGAACGTCGAGTTTTATAAAAGCATGCTTGTGATAGAATATGATTATACACCAGATTTTGCTTATTTAATGTGATTATTTTTTATTTTTTAGTTTTTTTTTCTCAATAACTGATGCAATTTCTATAATATACATACGTATGAATAGATTTGGAGTAAAATATTTATCAATTTCTTGAATATATTTTTTATAAATATTAATAAAAATACGTAGTCAACATTTTTAAGCATATCTCACATGATTGCAAATTTCTCAACTTCTTATATATCGTCTTAATCTTAAAAGTAATTTTTTAATCACCTGTCCGGAAGTGTTTCGCAGAACTATTTTACCAACTATTTAATTAAATTTTAACATTTTTAAAAATCTTATTCTTTACCCTACTACGTTTATTATTTCATCATTAATAAACTAAAATTTTTTTTAGTACTTTAATTTAGGTTTTCTATAAAGTAAAGCTCCTTTTTAAATTATAGTCAAGTTTTTCTTAAAAGAATTATTGTCTGCTAGCTAATTAAACCTTGTTAAGAAATTAAAAACTTTCTGCTGTTTAAAATTATTTAATGCAAAAAAGCTGATTATTTACTAAGCATACTATTTTTTTCGAAAAAAGAGTATAAATTATTGATTGTCTTTTTTTGTTTTGTTTCTTGTGACTTCAACATAGATTATCTAAAATAGTGTTGATGTTTTAGAAGTCACTACAAAGAGTATACAGATACTGAACATAAAAAGCTGTCGAATACGTAGCCAAAATTTTTAAGCGTCTTAAAATATCTCAGCATCTTAAATGTCGTCCTAACATCTTAGTTGTGAAATTTAATTATCTGACCACGTGTGATTCACTTATTATTTCATTATATCTTTTACTCTTTCTTTATGATTCCATGTAGATTTTTTCCCGGATAATATACTAAACTATTTTGTTTAATTTTTCACTTTAGCACGATTCCCAAGATATTATTGTAGTATAAATTGTTATCAGGAAAAATGCCTTATTTTGTTAAGAAGGAAATTCCAAGAATTGAAATTTATGGTGAATTTGCGAATGTAAGTTTCAGAATGTATCGAAAGATGAGGATGGTATTTGCTAATCATCTTTATCCAAAGAAATCCTTACCTCCTAAATATCTAGCAGAATGAAGCGATTTTTTAAACAATGAATCTTACAATATGCAACATATTATTTCAATATCTTATTCTTAAACATAATATATTTCAATGTTTTTAAAATACCACTAAACATTCAGCAATTCCTTGAGATATAGAAAAAAGAAATATCGTATATTATAGAAAATCTTGTGAATGCGCATTAGAATAACTATACAATATACATTTTATTTTTCAAGCACTTTTTTTTCCTTCAAAAATGATAATCCCTAAAATTTTGTATATAGCTATAATAAGTTATGTTAATTTGATTTTAGTATGAAATCCTCGAATAAATATAGCAAAAACAACATAATCTAAATAATATCAGATAAAAAGTTCATGTATTTAAATTCTAAAAACTTAGAAAATCATAAATAATTTATAAATCGATTCAAATTTTCTTTTCAAAGGAGATTAAAATAAAAAAAATTTTGCTTTTTGGACAGAAATTAGCTTAAAAATTGTCTACATCCTAGAAACTTTGAGATATTTTCTATTAACTTTGAGATATTTCTATTTAACCTCTCCGAGCAATCACAGAGCATTATTTGATATTTTTTTTTTACAATCGGAAATTGGTTGCTTAGCAACCTAGTGAAATTAAGTCTTCTTCTTTTGAATTAGTCAATGGGCTACCTTAAAATATTAATTTGCGCAGGCGTCTTTTTTTAGCGGTTTTCTGGACTATCGCCAAATATATTTAAGATCCTTACCGCCCTTTATTGTGACCCAATTTAAGATCCAATTTTTTCAAAATTTTGTCTACCCCCCCTAATTCAAGTGTCTAGATTCCAAATATGTAAAAAAAAATATATGTTTATTCAGAGAAAGTACGTTTTTGTGTCTAATTTCGTAACTTAATTAATAGTTAGCACTAATTAATTAGCATATTTGAGGTCACCCCCCGGAACCATTAAGATTGACATTTAGTTCGTGAAAATCCGATCATTACAACGAAAGTTATTCAGGGTGATATCTTTTTTTTTTTTGCGGATTGTACCTTCGATAACAATTTTGAATTCAATGGAGGTAACCTATAAGAACGAACAACCTTCATCAAAGACCATTTTACTGTGGAACGGAAAATGGTCGCTCCCGAGGGGTTTTACTGTATAAAATAATCACTCTGACGCATTTAATTTACGTCATTCAATAATAATTCGACGTCACCTATTCATCATTTTTCAGTCTATTTTCATTTCTTTTTTAAGATAAGAATCAGATATATGATGTTATTACGACACACGATTAAGAAATTTAATTATCACTTTTTGATATTGCACATGACGGTTTTAATACACATTCAATTTTGCTTCTGTGCATTTTTTATGAATTTATTCATTGCTTTTCGGTCATTTCCACATGATTTTTCGAAATCTCATATTTGTATAAAAATTTGATAAATATAAGGCGAATCACTAGTTTGGCAACAATTTTTCTTAAATTAATATTTTTATAAAGTTGTCATTTTTTTTGAAAATCGTTACCTTTGAGCTAATTTTTTTGTAAATATAACAGCCATAGTCGCCTCACCTCGAACTTAATAGCAAATAGTCCCATTTTAGTTGCTATCAGTGGCTTTATCTTCCCTCTTACGAAACTAAAGGCCAAAACCTGAAATTCCAAAGAAAATAGATATAAATCAAATATTATAATAAGTATTTCAAAGTGCACAATTTAAAAAATTCTCTAAAGAAAATGAGAAAGAGGGTAATTCAAAAGAGATATAGATTAAGTTCTCACTACATTTTGATTAGAATTTTCGATTTTTATCTGACAGGCTAACAAAAATTTGATGGGTTAACGATTTCCCATAAAAGTCTAACGTTAGCAGGGAAAATTCTAATTCTCAGTTTTTTGGATAAAAATAAGCTTAAACTATTTCCATTTTTTTTCGGTATGGAATAACTATTACGAAACAAAGAGCTATTGTTTAGAGGAAAATTTTAATAGTGTTTTCTAGGTAAAATATTAAGCTGAAACTTTATGTGGCCATAATTGTTTTTTGGCAGTAAAGTTAAAGATTTATTATTATTTTTTTTTTTTGGGGGGGGGGGNTCTTCTTTTTTTTTGGGGGGGGGGGTCTTTTTACTTGTTTTGTAACCTATTCTTGGTGGGTGTTCCAACGCAGGATCGAAAATTTTAGCTAATATTTGTTTAAATCATTTTTTTTCAGATAGGGTAACGATTTCCGAGCATGGATTAACAGTGGCAATTTGAAATTTTTTTTGGGGGGAAATTTCAGTCAACTTGTTTCGTTGTAAAGTTTAAGTGGGCTAACGATTTCCTTAATCGGTTGTAAAATACGGTTTTAATATTTGAAATTAAAAAAAAAAAACTTAGATTTATCAAATGTGTACAAAAAGCTGCTTTGTCTATTATTGTTCATTAATGCACCGCGATGGCTGAGGAGATAGAGCGTTCGCCTTCCAACGAAGTGAACCGGGTTCGAGTCCCCAGTCATGGCTGGTCGAAACGAATCCGCATCCGGCTTGCACCGACCACAGTACTAAAGTGAAATATCCTCAGTGGTAAAAGGATCATGGGAGAGAGTACCTTTGCCGTCAGGCTAACCGTGATCAAAAAGTCCTCCACGAAGGTAAATTTCTCCCAATACTTGATCCAGGAGCTTGTCTTCTGGATTGGGTTCAAAATTACAAGGCTACGGAGTTGAACATCAGTAGTCGTAAACCAAAAAATTTGGGTCGGATGTTCAACGACGGTTATAATATTATAATATTGTTTGCAATAGATTATCTACCGTGGGCTTATACAGTCCTAATATTGGCCAAACTCTAAAGGCAATATTAAAAGTTTAAATTTTTAATCAATAATTAGCTAAAACTTATTTTAGTTTAGAAATATTTTGGTGACCGATTTCTCATGATTTCTTACAATAGGCTAGCATTTTGAAACAAAACTCAAACTTCTGAAATTTAGCTGAAAACCAGTTTTTTTCGTAGCTTATTTTGGTGGAGGGGGTAGGCTGAGAAAATTTTTTTAGCGAGTAAACATGAGAGGCTCAATAAGATAACAGTTCTAAATATAATTTGTAAATTTGGTAGAAAAATTAACGAAAAGATGTAAGCAGGTTCACTGACGAAAAATTTTTGTCCTCAAACATGGGATTACGGAATAAGTTAGTCCTTAGGGGCTAACACTACGTAGTTAAACTTTGAGTTTGTTTCAAAGTGTCAGCATTTGTAAAAATTAACTAAAAGCCGTTTAGGCTGTAATTTTCATTTTGGTTGAAGTTTTTTCTTAAGCAATATTATATAACGTTTTAGGGCATCACTCGAACTTGTGGCGTCAAGGACAAAAATTAATAAATTTTTCTTGATAATTCGATTTTTTTTAAACTTCTGATGATAATTTCTTTTGGTCTTGAAATTTGTTGGCGAATGGGCTCACGAATATATTTTTGATAGATTAACATGGACTAACTATGTCTTAAAACGAGCATAAATTTTGAGGTAAATTTTAATCTTATGATTTTTACTGTCAAAAAGGATATATATAACTTGGTTTTGCCAATCTATTTTTTACCCGTTTACGGAAACGATAATTTCAGATGGGTTAACACAGAGGTGACCAACACGTGCCATAAATGACACATGAAAGCAGCAAAATAAAAGGCAAATCGATAACAATATTAAATTTTAAAAGGCTTTTTTTAAAAAAAATATTTCTTCGTTCTCTTTTTTTTCAATCTAGGAATATGTCTCAGTTTCCTATTGCTCATATGCAATACACTTTGTGAAAACCAACATCGTTTATCACGAACTAATGAACATTTTTAAAAAGAATAACTGCTGGCAACTTCAGATTCATCACCGTAGATCGAAGAAATGACCAATAACTTTTTTTGCCTAGTGAGCAAACGAAAATATTTGGTGAGTAATTTATTTTGAACAATGGACTAACGTTTCGAATCAAAATTCAACTTTTGATTTTTAGATTATAAATTAACTGAAACTTCATTTTTACTACAATTTGTCGGGTAGTTAACAATGTTCCAAAATTTATTAACTTTTGAATTAAAATTCAACCCGGAAGTAATTTAATCAGAAATTCGACGTGAACCGGGTTCCAAATCCAGCAATGGCTTGCACCGACCACTGTTTTGACTTAAAATATTCTCAGTGGTAGACGGATCATGAGTTAGAGTTTCCTTCTGACGTCAGGCTAACCGTGAAGGTTTTCGAGGTTTTCCTCTCCATGTAATGCGAATGCTGGTTAGTTCCACCAAAAAGTCCACCGCGAAGGTAAATTTCTCCCAATACTTGATCCAGGAGATCCCTTGTCTTTCGGATAGTTTTCAAAATTAAATGGCTATGGAGTTGAATATTAGTAGTTGTAGGCCTCAAAAAAATTGAGTCGGCTGTTATGAAATAAAATATTTTATTTATTAATTAAAAGGTGCACTCAAATTTTCAAGAATTCAAGATTCCACTCAGATTTTTAAGAATTTTTGGCGTAAATAATTTTTAGGATACAATTTTTTAATGGATCTGATGTATCGAAAAATAATAATTAATTTTTATAAAGAGTTGTACTTAATCAGGGTGAGTTGTCAAATTCTTCAACAAAAAATAAGTACCTTTTAGGTACTTTTTAAGCACTCATAAATTGTTTTTAAGCACTTTTAGGCAAAATATTACAATTAGGATACGCGCACTCATAATTTTTTCATTCATATTGTTGAAAGTTCTTCATATATTAACAAAATTCAAAATAGATTTAAAAAGTGACGTGACCATGATATAATTGACTGACTAGTTTCTGACAAAGAATTCTTCTCGTGATTATATTAGCCACCATAAAAGCAATTTCACAATTTTAAATACATTCAATACTGAGAGAATCATTCAATTTTTTTAAATTTATAATTACTTAACACAATTATGTAAGAAAATTTATTCAAAATTATAAATAATTGAAAGATTATCTCTCTTGCAAAATGCAGCACAGTTGCTCATGAGAATGCAAGCATCCTTCCCACCGAATCCAACTCAGTATTCGAACCCGCAAGTATTTCATAAAATGCTTTCATACACTAAAGACCGATGGTAGGGTAAACGAACCAGTGAAGGAACACACCTTAGTGAATGAACATTTCATAAATATTTTCTAAAATTAAGATTTTAAACGTTTTTACTTAGATTGATCGGTAACAGTAGCCTACTACCTAACAATAGGAAGTCATCTAACAATGCATTTGGTTGCCTAGTTATATAGTCTTCTCTGGAAAATTTTTTGAATTTGTTAGTATCTGTTCAGCGCCTTGTTTCTATGACAAAATTATAAGGTCAGTGTTTGTATGTATCCGTTCAAAGTGGTATTAATTGCATATAATAGTTCTGTTTTTATCACTGTGAAGAAAGAAATTCAAAATATGGTTATTGAAGTTACGTTTTATTTATTTTAAGCATAATAGCATAAGCAAGTACTGAGATTAGGGGATGTTTATTCACTAGATTACCAAGCGATTAAAAACCAATGAATGAACAACTGTTCCTTTACTAGAATTTTTCCAAGTTAATGAAAATAAAAATAAAAACTTTAAATTTTCATGTACCTTTAGTCATATTATACATCAAAATCATGTTAAAAATACAAAAAAAAACTTCTAACCAGTGAAGGAACAGGCATGTTCCTTCACTGGGAATAGATTTCTCAGTGAATGAACAGTAGGTGTGAAACATGATATTACATGGCTCTGAGATAATTAGTAGTTCTACGATATAGAGGACACCCTGTTAAATGCTGTAAGAATAATTTCTAAAGTAATCTCATTTCAAAATGCTAATTTAATTGCTAAATTTATGGAAAGAGTTATAATCATAATTTATTTATAATTTTATCTTAATAAATGTAGTAGTTAGTTCCATCATACGTTAGACAGCTTAATAAACTATATTGACTTATCGAAAACTAAATATATATAATAATAAAAGCTTGAATAGAACAGTTCTTTGCTGGGTTTTGGGCCAATAATTAGCTAAATTATTATCTTAATGTGGTCCTTAACGTCATGACGGAAACGGGTCATGACGGAAAAACAGCCATCCAGGTGAAAAATGGGTGAAGCTTTTTTTAAGTCGACATCCACTGATAACTCAGTGCAATGCGAAGATAATTTCAAAAGGCAAAATTTCCCTTTCTTAAACTGAGAATATATTCGAGAGTGGTTTAAAGAACTTTAGACGAATCTTAAGGAGGGAAGTAGCCTTGGCATTCCTTTAGAATGTAATCGCATCTACAATGCGAACGAAACGGGAATTGAATACTGCCCTTAAACGGGAAAAATCTTTGCCCCTAAAAATTATAGGAATTTATATTCTATAGTTCCTAGGAATTAAAAAAAGAACAACAGTTTTGGCCAACATTTCAGCTAGTGAAAAAAAAAAGTCCCTCCATTGGTAGTTTTTCCTTACTGAAGAATTCCTCGAGGTATTACAGAATCAGTTCCTGCTATATATTTCATTGGAAAAAGTGATTCATGAAGTGAATCGATGACCACAACAACATTTTACGAATATATTGCAAATGCTTTTTTCTACCCATGGCTAATTGAAAATTCTATCAAATTCCTTATTTTACTTCTTCTAGAT